TTACAATTTAAAAATTGAAACGCTCAAAAAAAACCTCGTATAATTTTTATAAATCATTGAGCAGCCGCATACGTGAGAAGGAAATGCCAACGAGCGCTCATTAACATTTTACCCGTTTGTGAAAATGGCGGAAGTGGACAGGGCCAACTTTTTTGCGGCGTCTTATGTACATAATAATTCTCTTGAAATAGCAGAAGAATTCACAACAGTGTATAATGGTTAAGCCCTTCCCGCACGGTGCTGGTGCTGTTCTTAAATTCTTTTTTTTTTTTGAAGGGGGGGATCCCTTTTTTATGTATTCAAACGGTGTCTTCCTCGTTGTGGAGACTGTCCAGAGCCTTATTTAGGCGAACTCAAATTGCGTTCCTTCTGGGCATGTTATTTGGGGCGGAAAAAGTGCTTAACGGGTAACGTCCACAAGAATCAATTCGGAATTTTTTTCCTTTTTAACATCATGCTTAATCGAAGGATAGGCAAAATCCTGCTGTACGATTACTCCTCACTGCGGTCTACAAATTGGAGTGCAAATACACCCAAAAAATGGGACAACGTAAAGTGTAAACGGAAAAAATCGCAAAAGGGGGAAAAAAAAAAAAAAAAAAAAAAAAAAAAAAGTGGAAAAAAAAAAAAAAAAAAAAAAAAAAAAAAAAAAAGGAACATCAAAATGGATAGACGAATTGAAGCGAGGAGAAAAGAATTTAAGAAGAACTGCGATGACACGAGAAGAAAAAGAGAAGACTTGGTTGTCCAAATAAGAAAGCAACAGAGAGAATGTCAGCTGGAAAGTAAAAGAGCCTTGATAATGGCCAATATAGGACTCGAAGAAAATTCCTCATATAATGTCAATTATTTAAAATCCAATCAAAATGACTCCACCAATGATTCGCTATACAATGCTGCATCAAACAGTAGTTCCAGTACCATTGAAATGTTAAAGAAGATTCCCTCCTTAGCCATAGGGGTAAGGTCATCTGAATATGTAACTCAATTAAACAGCACACGAGAGTTAAGAAAGTTATTGTCCATTGAAAAAGGACCCCCCATACAAGAAGTAATAAATTCAGGGGTCGTTCCATACATAGTGGAATTTCTAAAGTATGATGATAAAACAGATTTACAATTTGAAGCCGCTTGGGTGTTGACAAATATTGCTTCAGGTTCACAAGAACAAACCAAAGTGGTAATTGAAAATAATGCTGTGCCCCATCTTGTTAGACTATTAAATAGCGAAAAGGAAGATGTGTGTGAACAAGCCGTGTGGGCTTTGGGGAACATTGCAGGAGATTCAGCGGAGTGCAGAGAGTTTGTTCTTAATCAAAATTCCTTACCTTTACTTTTAAAAATTCTAAGAACGAGCCATAAGAGAACATTAATAAGAAATGCCGCATGGACATTATCGAATTTGTGTAGAGGTAAGCCAGCTCCCAAATTTGAAATAGTTTCCAAGGCCTTGCCAACCCTAGCTGCATTAATATACAACGATGATGAAGAAATATTAACAGATGCTTGTTGGACTTTGTCCTACTTATCAGATGGCTCCAATGAAAATATCAATGCTGTCCTTGATGCTGGAGTAGCGGAACGGGTGGTGGAGTTGCTAAGCCATTGTTCTTTTTTAGTTCAAACACCTGCGTTGAGAACCGTTGGAAATATCGTCACAGGGGATGACCTCCAAACGGATGTCGTTGTTAAACTTGGCGCTGTGCAAAAATTATCCTGCTTACTTAATTCTTCAAAAAAAAGTATAAAAAAAGAAGCCTGTTGGGCCTTGTCCAATATCACTGCAGGAAACATTTCCCAAATACAGGCAGTAATTGACAATAATGTTATTCCGCAACTTATAAATATTTTAATGAAAGAAGATTTTGAAGTGAGGAAAGAAGCGGCTTGGGCAATATCGAATGCTTCTTCTGGGGGATCGGAGTCCCAAATTGAATACCTTGTGGAATGTGGGGCCATACACTCTCTGTCCAACTTATTAGATGTAGAAGATGCAAACATCATTTCTGTCACTTTGGAAGGACTGGAAAATATTCTCGAAATGGGAGAAAATAAAAAGTTAAGAGATAATTTACCTGCCAATCCTTATGTTCATTTTTTTGAAGAATGCGACAGCGTGCATAAAATAGATGCTTTACAGGATAGAAAGGTGGACAATATTTGCAACAAGGCTTGGAAAATATTGTACAAGTATTTCCCCTTTATCATTAACAACGAAATAAACAGCACGCAGATCACTCTCAACAATGTCTTCGCCAACAACGACGACGCGGTGCTCAATAAGGACTTTACGTTCGACTGATGGGCTTCTGCCAGGATGGCCAGGCGGGCCAGACGCGACGAACGCGACGAACACGACGAACACGAAAGACGCTTCTGTGCCACGCGCACCATTTATATTACATGTGCGTACCTGCGCTGCTGTGCCGGTCTACACCCCCGTACATACCCATATTCATGAAATCTCCCACGAGTACCACATCAAGTGTGTGCATTAATGCAATGCATCAACGTGTATACCCACGTCCCTTTGTACACGAGTAAAAAAGAGTCTCCCTTGTGGAGGCAATTCATCTCTGCGTGCGCCCCCTTTCATGGGCATACCCATATGCGTACACTAAGCTGTGTGCGTGTACAAGGGCCACGCAAAACAAGTGTTTTTTAAAAGGAAGAAAATGCATGAAGAGTACATAAAGCACATGCACAGGCATATATATATATATATATGTTCACATGTGCATGTTTATGTTTATACATTTGTATACTCATTGTGGGTTCCCATATGCCCAACGTTCACCTATCTACCACCTGCTCATATATCCACTGCATCGATGCAGCTCCATTTATGAGCGCCTAATGCATCCACAAAATCATCTCGTCATTTCCTACGCACCTCTTCACGCACTACCCCTTGTTGTTTACTCACTTCTTCGTGCACCACTTTCTCACTTTTTTCATTCACCCACTTCGCACTCGCATCCCCACTTTGCCCTCCATGTCCCTACACTGTTCCCTCCTTTTTTTAAAACCCTTTTGAAAACAAACATTCGTAACACAATAAAAGTGTGTATATATATAAGCATGCACATATATATATGTACATATGGATACCTTATTTTTTCATTTTTTTTTTTTTTTTTATGGTTTTAAAACATTTTCCTTATTACAATTTAAAAATTGAAACGCTCAAAAAAAACCTCGTATAATTTTTATAAATCATTGAGCAGCCGCATACGTGAGAAGGAAATGCCAACGAGCGCTCATTAACATTTTACCCGTTTGTGAAAATGGCGGAAGTGGACAGGGCCAACTTTTTTGCGGCGTCTTATGTACATAATAATTCTCTTGAAATAGCAGAAGAATTCACAACAGTGTATAATGGTTAAGCCCTTCCCGCACGGTGCTGGTGCTGTTCTTAAATTCTTTTTTTTTTTGAAGGGGGGATCCCTTTTTTATGTATTCAAACGGTGTCTTCCTCGTTGTGGAGACTGTCCAGAGCCTTATTTAGGCGAACTCAAATTGCGTTCCTTCTGGGCATGTTATTTGGGGCGGAAAAAGTGCTTAACGGGTAACGTCCACAAGAATCAATTCGGAATTTTTTTCCTTTTTAACATCATGCTTAATCGAAGGATAGGCAAAATCCTGCTGTACGATTACTCCTCACTGCGGTCTACAAATTGGAGTGCAAATACACCCAAAAAATGGGACAACGTAAAGTGTAAACGGAAAAAATCGCAAAAGGGGGAAAAAAAAAAAAAAAATTCTGAGGGAGAGTTCACATTTTAAACCCATCCGCTCAAGACATTTGTACCACCTTTTGATGATCCCCAGAAAGGCACCTTTTTATTTGAATTTGTTCTACACAACGGTCGATGTGCTCAATTTTTTAACAAAAAAGGCATCATGAATTTTTTTGCGAAACAAGTTATTTTTATCCCCTTAACAAGGCAAAAATTCACCCACTAAATGAGAAAATCTTGATCTTTTTTTTTTTTGTTCTTTTTTTTACCTTTTTCTCTCAGAAAGGACAAAAAAAAAATCAGACACAAGTCTCCCTCTCTGATACTTTGTGAAAGTTCTTCATCATAAACCTTTACATGCAGGGGGAAAAAATGGGCTATTTGAACATTCCAGCTGGCCAAAGGTGTGTAACATTCACCTGTCTACTTGCTCCTTCCTTTTATTTATTTATTTTTTTTTTTTTTTTGCTTATTTATTTTTACTCATTAAGCAAAACACAAATTGTTCTCGCCACTGTGAATGATTTCTCTTTCCTTAGATCATTTTGAAGGAAACCCTTTTGTTTATGTGCTTATATTATGTAAAAAAAAAAAAAAAAAAAAAGACAACAGTTTGATTCACTCTCCTTTTATGCTTTGTTAATTTTTTATTTTAACATAATAGCATTTTTTATTTTTCAAAGTCCACGCCGCACATGTTTCAAGCACGCGCGAGCTGTGCACACACTTGTACATATACATATATACTCATATACGTACTCATAGGAGCGCCTACGCAATTGTGGGCATTTTCGTAAAGTTTAATCCCCCCCTTGGCTTGTTCCCCCACATATAAAGATACGCCTCGCATAAATCGCCGCATCCCTTTTCCGCGCCACTCGTCACTCCACTGCCGATTCGCAGTTAAAGGTCAGTAACACCTGTCTGCAAGATCACGTCACAAAGCAAACTTCACCAGCAACAATGTCGAACCTCGCCCACTACTTGTGCCTGCTCGTGCTCCTACTGAGCACCCCCGTTCGGAGCCGCGGATACGTGTGCGACTTCTCCTCGTCCAAGTACAACCTGGACTTCGACGACTACTACGCAGATGTCACGTGCTACCACGAAATTGGCCAGGGAGACACCATCGGAGTGATCATCCCCAAATACAGGGACGGTAGAGAAAACACCAACATTTTAACCCAATGCTTTGAAGAAGTTTCATTAAACAAATCAGGAAACAATCCAGTGTCCATATACAAAATATTTAACAAGGATGAAATTGAAGTATCAGTTTCAAGTACGCTATACAACACAGAATATCTGTCCTCAATTTTAAAAATAAAAAATGTGGAAAAAAATAATTATATTCATTGTGTGTTTGAAAACAGAAATGAAAAAAATAAGGAAATCCACAAAGGAGTGGCAAAAATTGCAATAAAAAATTACCCAGTTCAAAATAAAAATTTAACAAACAAACATGTGGTTGACTTGTATAACCAACTGAATTTAAATGTAGACAATTCGAAAAGCAAATACAGGGTCACGGCTGAACCTGGACATATACTCTACATACTGGGGACCAAATTGGCCAATGGAAAAAATATTTATTTTGACAAAAATTGTCGTGTCCATTTTGAGCATATAGGAGATATTTACAAACATGTGTTTCCAATCATTAACGAAGAAGAGGTGGTGTACGACTGCCCCATGTACTATGATAACAAGGAAAAAAAAATCTCCTTAGGAAATTTGATTGTCACTTTTGAAGCCAAACCTCCAAGTATAAAATCCATCAGTAAGGACATTTTAAAAAAACATATAAAATATGACATTGAACAAAAACTGCATGTCCTTTTAAACGGCTCAGATTACACCATGGGAAATATGGACAGTGCAGACGGAGATCGTCCTCATCAATACATGGAACAGAGTGTAGAAATAAATGAGACGCAAACATCCAACCTTCAATCCGTTAACCTAAGCAAGGAACATTGTAATAATGATAAATGTGTAGATTTGTTTGAAAATTCAACTTGCTCTTCCGTTTGTGGAGGTGGATACAGACTTCGCGATGGCTATGATGTATTCTACGACATCCAATCGGTCATTCCGTGTAACCATGGGGATTGTACTCCTGAAGATGCAATTGAACCTCTTGTCATTTTCGCTTGGACCTCCATTGTTTTCTTTTGCATCATGGTTACCCTTCTGATCATCACCATTTACTCCCTCCTGCATGTCAGTAAGCAAAAGGTGGCCGACCCCTTCTACAACTACGACTCGAACATCAAGTCGTAGGACGCGTTGTGAGTCCCTAACAGTCCGTCGTCAGGTGTAAGGAAAAATAACATGTGGGGTAGTGACAACCAAAAGGGGGTGCACCCAACCCACTGGGCGCCCATCAAGTGATCAAAATGCCGCCAATTGGGGAACCAAAGTGCACGAAGCACAACCCGCAATACTGCCATTTTGTTTTTTTTTTTTTATCTTACCTTTTTTACACATTGAAAAAAAAAACAATTTTGTGCACATTTTGAAGGGCTTTTTTACGTTGACGAAGCGGGTGCCCGTTCATCTCTACCACTTTGTCTGCTTTGTTTTTCCGTTGATTTGAGTTTATTCGATTTTATTAGCCTCAATTTGTTTTCATTTTTTTTTTTTTTTTCTCACTTTCTCAACACTCTGAAAAACTGAGCACATTTAAAAGGATGTACATAACCTTATGGGGCATGCTGTAGGATAGTGTGAGGTGCGCTGGTTTAGGCCTCTTAACCGATCAAATGGACACACACCGTATTGGGGGTGGCACTTAACGGCAAAAAACGGTTTACGTGTGAATTTCGTGTGGAGGATTAGCACCCATATTTGGAGACGTATGCATATATGTTGACATGTATTCATTGATCCAGCATCCACCACGTTTCCGCTGAGATGCCATGGGCGAGGAAAGCCTTGCCTTTTTTTTTTTTTTTTTTTTTTTTTTCCGAACTAACAGCGGTAAATGCAAAGAGAGCATAAAATGCCCCCCAAATGTCGATGCCATTCCTACAGAGCATTGTAGGGATGAAAATTTTGCGGCCACAGTTTTTTCCCTTGCGCCCATTTGGCACACCTGCTGGGTGATTCGTTTTACTCAACTGTTTTACAATTTGTGAGCCATTGTATAGTATAATATGCTATTTTTTTTCTCTCTCATTTTTTCGCAACAATTTTCACCAGTTCTGCACACCATCTTCCATGCCCATGCCACGTGACAGCTTGCGAGCAGCCCTTCCTCCCCTGGCAACTCGAAACATAAAAACGCACAAATGAGGGGAACCTACCTATGGATATTCTACTACAGAACAAAGCACCTGCGGATTCAGGATTCCTTTCCTTTTTTGAAGCTGCGTGCTGAACAATTTGCAGACAATTTTGTGCGCAATTATGGGGACACCATTAATGGTGTAAAAAATGAGCTCAAAATTATGTGTAGTTTGTGTAACATGTCCATGAGGATGGTTCATGTATCCCTCTGCGAAAGTGCGAACTGCGGGGGTTATAGGACTGCCGATGGATGTGAGCCTACCTTTGAGCATAGCCACGAACATCGCCTCAGTTACAGCGGCAATAATGCCCCCGCGGAGAGCGCCCAACTAGAGCAAAATACACAACCCGCAAAAAACGGCCGTTCTAAATTAGCAACCTATCTAATTATTCACTACGTTAAAGAATATGTAAAATTTGTTGTCCACTCTTTACTTCATTTTTATTTTTATTTATGTGATACATTTTATCGCACCCTGTGTGTGTTGCCAAAGGGCTATTTGGAATTTCCAGAGCAGCTGGATTATTATTCGTCCATTTCGGACAACCTCTTGACCAGCTTTGTCACCATTTATAAAATCTATAAAAAAAGTAACTCTTCAGAATTTCGCTTTAAGTTAGATGAACTGGCATTTCTTGGTTCGGGATTTATTTACGACAAAAGAGGTACAAACATGTGCACAGCAAAAAAAAAAAAACACTTAGCGTGTGCAAGTGGGCAGCACATTTATACTTATTGTTTGCTCAAAGGGGGGACAAATTGCCCCTCAAAAAAAAGTACACCACGGGACCTAGTTTATTGAGCCCAGTATTGTCCGGACAACATTAACCGCTTAAAATGTTATGTCCCTTTTTATGGTAATTCTCCTCGCCATACCTTTTTTTGTGTTTTCCCCCATTTTTCATCTCGCGAAAAGGATACGTTCTAACGGCTGCGCATAACATAACGGTAAAGAAATGACGAGATAACACTGTGACGTCGTGGCGATGTTGCGACTTAGCAAGGTGTCCAAGTTGGCACTTGACAAAAAAAACGTACTCATAGCACTTACACCCATTTTGCCCATTCAAAAAAAAAAAACTCCCGAAGAATACAGAGGGAACCCTCCTTATCAAAAATGAAGACAACTTTTATGTAGCAACGGTGGCCGGTTTGCACAAGGGTAAACTTTTATACGTAGCACTCATGGAAGGAGAAACCAACTACCGTTGGAAAAATCTCCATTTAACAGCTGTCACACGGGTTGTTCCTGTGCCCATGTGTGTACCTCCGCACGTATACACACAAACACACGCGCGCACTTTTTTATACACTTCTCCACGCACCAACACACCAAATGTCAGAATCAGATATATGCGTCATGAAAATTAACTCGGAGGAATACTTTAGCCACATACCTCTAAGTAAGAAGCACAAAAATGTAATACGCGCAAAGGTCGTCTATTCATTGCACAATTCATGTCTAATGCAATTTTAAACATAGACCCCAGCAGGGAATTCTTGAAGCCCGGAGAAACTGTAATCACGTATGGACAAATACAGGTACTCATACTTTGTGTGTTTCCTTTTTTTTCTTTTTTTTTTTTTTTGTTCTCTTCCTCCTTATTTTGTTGCAACCTAACTGGGCTCCCACATCTGGACTAAAAAGTAACTCCATTTTACTTTCAAACATTTTTAGAATTTCGATAAAGGGACCTGTAGTATCGGTGTCGTAAATCAACCTAGACAGACATTCACCAAATTTGAAAACTTTTGTGAAAAGGAGAAAACCTGTTTGTACCCCTTTATTCAAATAAGCAATCCGATTAACAAGGGTTAGTATATTTCCTGGCAGCGGGGCCACACGCATGGAGTTTGCAGCTCACCCGAGTATACGGCACACCCATGTGAACTACTTTTTCGCACCTCTAATTTTAAGGCATGTCTGGCTCGCCACTAATCGACAAGCATGGAAATCTCGTAGGAATGATACAAAAAAAAATAGATAATTACGGGTATGCAATGAAGAAGCGCGTCGCAGAATGAACAGAAACACAATGTTTCCTCTTAGGCGCAATGCAATTTGGTGAAAAAAAAATAATAATAACAGTAATAATTTATGGCAATCCTCTCACCCTCATTTTTCGCATTTAATAAACAGGTTGGCGTTGCCCGTGAATATTTTAAAAAATATCACAACCCACTTACAACAGGAAGGGACATACAAGGAGCCATTTCTGGGTATTTAGTCGAAAAAATAAAATAAATACATAATTGTGTGCCAACGGGCACATGTACATGTACACACAGCAACCCTTCGTGTACACAACCAACCTCTGCATTGTCATCATAAACACCATCAGGAATTGTGTTGAGAGAAAAAGAGCAAAGTACCTCCGCAGTTTATAAAAAATGCAAAAATGGTAATGGCAAAGCACACGCAAATTTTCCTTTCATACACAAAAAAATATGTTGATCACCCAAGCAACACTTATTTGTGTCTCCTTTTTTTTTCATTCTTATGGCGATTTGGAGAGCAAAATTTTCCCTCGCAATGCCGGTCATGTTTGTGCACTAATTCATCCCCACCCGAATTCCCCTTTTTTAGAAGAACTAAAAATACAGGACGTTTTGGTTAATTCACCTGCGGACGTTGCCGCCATAACCAAAGGAGATATCATATTGACGATTAACAATAAGGGGATTAAAAACATTTGCGATGTTAAAAGGATAAGCAAAAGGAAAAAAAAAATACAATAAACAATTCTGCTTTTATGCCTATATACATTTATGCGTTTGAGCTTGTTTGGGGTATTTAGCCTCCGTTGAAAATTTGTGTTGAGGCAAGGTCAATTTTTTTTTTTTTTTTTTTTTTTTCAATTTTTATCCCTTTCCGTTATTTACTACTTTTTAGGTGCACGAAATTTTGAACAGCACATCGGATGGTTACATCACAGTCGACATTATCCGCCATGGAAAAAACAAAAAAATAAAAGTAAAAAAAAAAATATATAGTAAAAATAGAGCAAATAAGGGACACAAAAACGTGTTCACAACAGTGAATGGATGCGCGCTTGTCCCCGTTTTGTGTACCTTCAAAAGACGTGTGTTTGCCCTGCCGAGATAAACCTTCTTCCATTCATTTTTACATTAACAGTTTGTTCCTCCGTTCACCAGTTTTCAAATTGGTGAAGGGGGGGGAGCATATGTTTGTACGCGTGTGTATGTATATGTGTAGAAGTGCCAACTCGATAGTGTAATTGTGGCACGTAATGCATAGTACCATTTTGCGCCACATGTACACATTGACGTAAATTTTTTTATGATCACCGTTTGGCTACGCAGTGCATAACATAGAGCGGCCGCGTGTGTATGCTACACTTGCTCATATTTTGCGCTGCATACTCACTTCACCAATTTTTAGGTGAAACTGTGATGACCAGGAGTTTGTTAATCCGTTTCGTCGCTCAATGTGCCCTTTTTTTTTTGTAATCCCCAGCTTGGCACCAAAACATCTTCATCTTATGATAAATGCGAAGCGTAGTTAGATCACCTCTCTCCCTTTTGTTTTGGGTGTACTTCGTTAATGTGACTCGTGTGTTTTGTTTTATTCCCAAAAGGGAAATCACGAAACTTGTGACAAGCTCAAATTTCCGCCTTTTTGAAGGTAACCTTTTTGGGGGCAGGATGCACATAAATATATTTCCATCTGCTGCATTCCCTTTGAACCTAATCGTTCATGTACGAATCCCTTACTTGTCCTTTTTTACACCGTCGCTCCCCTTTTTAGACATTAAAAAGAAAGAAGACCTCGAATATAAGCCTTTCAAAAATATCAGCTTTAACAAGCTTAAAACCAATTTGAAAAACTTTCTTGTAATCAACAAAAAGTTTAACATATCGGATGTCAAGCATGTTTCCTTTTTAGGTAAAAAAAAAAAAAACAAGCAATGTGAGTAGAAGCGAGCGTACACTTGTGCATATCCCGAGGTGATCACCTTTCCTTTGCTAGTATCACATTATGTATCTTCCCACATTTTGTGCGTCTTCGTCTTCACCATTTCTGTTTCATCATTTTGTGTGATTTCCCACAAAGTGGTTCTACACTCCTTGCCGATGGTTCTACCAGCAACAGCTAACAGGCAATATGTGTGTCTTTCCATCCCACGCCCCCCGTAGGAAAATTTCATAATTACGAGAAAATTGAGAACTACGGCGTCAATGAAATATGCATACTTGGCCGGAGCAACGTAGGGAAATCAACCTTCCTGAGGAACTTTATAAAATATCTTATCAACGTAAATGAGCATGCAAATGTGAAGGTGTCCAAGAACAGTGGGTGCACTAGGTCGATAAATTTATATTCTTTTGAAAATGGAAAGAAAAAGAAGTTGTTCATTTTGACGGACATGCCTGGCTTTGGCTATGCTGCAGGAATAGGCAAAAAAAAAATGGAGTTCTTAAGAAAAAACCTAGAGGACTACATATTTCTGCGAAATCAAATATGCCTCTTTTTTGTTCTTATCGACATGAGCGTGGACATACAGAAGATTGACGTGTCCATAGTGGACGCCATAAAGTATGTACAACTTTTGCTAGCGATACGTTTTGCGTATTTCACCCATTCTCTCCTCATATTTCGCTCATCATGTTTCATTTTTCACCCCCACACAGACAAACGAATATACCGTTCAGAGTCATCTGCACGAAGAGCGACAAGTTCAGTGCAAATGCTGAGGAACGCCTTCAAGCAATCAAAAATTTTTATGAGCTTGAGAAAATCCCCATACACATTTCGAAATTTTCGACGCACAATTAGTAAGCCTTAAAAAGTGTGGGACGCGCTGTACGGCGTTCTTTTTCTATATTGCGATTTTTATCAATTGGTGTTTTCTCGCATTTGCGACTTAGGAGAACGAAAAGTTTGTCATTATGATCAGTCGCTTAAGGGCGCCCATTTCTACACGTGCGTTTACACATTTTTTTCTTTTTTTTTTGCAGCATAAATATTTTCAAAGAAATTCAGCACCACTGTAATTTGGACACCCCGTGAAGGCGATTGTTTTTTATGGCTGCCTCGGGCCGTGTTGACCAATAAAGTTTGGGTTAAAAAGGGATGCACAAAGGGAAAAAAACATCGGGACGGGAAGAGCAAATTGACTTCAACACAGACGAATGTATATATGTTGTGCGATTGTGCGCTAACGCGGTGGTGCGCCTGGCCCTCCAATTTTTTTTGAGCGCACCTGCGAGGGATGCACCGCTAGAGTGGAAGTTTACTACGTGCGATTTTTTTTTTTTTTGTAGCAACTTATTTTTCATTCATCTTGTGACCGCGCATCGCGGCGCATGCAACACTCACGGATAGACCTCGCCTCACGTGAAGTAATTCAGGCCGCCCTTGTACATGTCCAAGATGTTCAGCTGGTCCTCCGTGAAAACCAACTTGTACTTGTACTCCCATTCGTCCTTATGGGTCCTCAAAAAGTTCTGGATGCACTTCTCTATCTCCTTCTTTATGATATGCACCTTATTATTTGACATTTTTGCTACGCTCATCAAAATGTTGGGGAGCCATTGGGGGACATGATTCGGAAACGAATTGATAACACTGATGAGGGCGTAAATGGCGACCGTTTTTTTCTTCTCCAGCTGTTTGCTGTTACTACTCGTTTCTATACTCTCCCCTTGTGATGACGGTAATGTGCTTTTCTCATTGGCAATTTTTAAAAAGTATTGAGAAATGTTCTGGACTGTCTGACTGTCGTAGAAACAAAGCACAGAGGACAAAATGTCACGAGACAAATTCTGAATCTCAATATAATTATCAACTAGCAAAGATATGAAGACATTTAGGAGGAAGGTGTTTTCCGTTCGGCTGTAAAAAAATATGCAATAGTACGCATGGAAGTAAAAGCAAAATTGTAATACGCAATTGCGAATCTTCCAGTTGCTTTTGGTTAGCAAGTGGCTTAACTTGTTTATGAATAAATTCCCCATATTATCTTGGAGTAGTGAATCGAAGCTACTAATTAGTTCTGGTGTGGCTATTACGTAGTTATGGTCTTCGTTATATGTGGCACATGCGTCTCCTATTTCCCCCGCCCGGTCCGAATAGCTGATTTTTTCAAACTCAAACAAGTAGAGCGAAGGACACATGAAGCAGTTGACGGCTTTGTTTACAATCTCATTGATAAAGTTGTCGACGAGCTGGAAGGACAAAATAAACATCTTCAAAAATGGAATGCTCACATTATTTAACACGTACATGCTTCTAATCGAAAAGATAGTAATGGTAATATAAGCTAGGGTTTCCAGTGTGTAAATAAATTTAGACTGTTTCGACAAAGTCTCCTGGCCTTGAAGGTATTCAATAACCTCACAGGCGCTTTTGTACATATACATTAATATCCTAAGGTACATGCGTTTCAAATGGGCATAATATCTATTGTCGTGAAGTACGTAGAGTAAGTAGGCTAAGAGATCCCCTACCACTTGCCTAACCGTTATGTTATCATTATCAATTAATTTTAGAAACTCCATTAGGTGGTCATCCATTAGGTGAATGTTCTTGTGCATACTGTACATAAGCATAATGCTTAAGAGCTGAGTTTTCTTTTTGAAAATTAAATTAGAGGTGTCTTGAAAATTGAAACACAAACAAAACTTAAACAATTTTTCGTACTTGTCAAGATCCTTCTTCTTTATGTTAATAAAAAGTAGGTGAAAATAATACATCCATATGTTATACACATCCATATTTACAACAGCTATTTCTTTTTCCAGTAATGAAATGATGCTTTCCAAAATTGAATCTGCTGCTTCTCTCCTTTTTAACTTTCTCAAGGAAAACAGTAAAGGGCAGACTAACGAAATGAACGTAGATTTGTACTCGTTGTCGGCATGCGCATCTTGTTGCAGTTCCTTCAAATTGTGGATAACTCTCTCGAAAAAGCTAAAATGGGCACACATATCCCCGTTGTTTCTACTAGTTTGTTCTTCACCGAGTCCGTGCACATCCCCATCCCCGTCGTCCTGTTTCTTCACTTCGTTGTATGGCTGTACTGTGTGCACCAATCCGAGTGTACCTTCATCTCCACCTCCCACCTCCTCATCATACGCATTCTGGAGATTAACCAAAAATTTGAAAAACTCATGGTAGTAGAAAAAATCCTTCACGTGTGTCTCGCTAATGTGAGCAAAACCCTTAAAAGATTTTTGCATCTTCGATAAATTCACAATGATGGCATTTATGCTATTGCTCTTTTTCTTGCTCTTCAAATTTTTGTATATGCAGACCTCCACAAAATTGTCGTACACATCTGGGCACCTGAATACCTTCATTATGTGGGCAGGCACGATACCTCTATCAACGTTTCTGTTGAAGTATTTTAAAAACTTAATAAATCCGTAATAAGCTAGGTTATACACATTCACATTTTTTTTTATGATCAAATTTTCTAGCAGGTAACTAAAATAGAATTCGCTGTGATTGAGAATTACAAAGTTCTCGTAACAGATGAGGAAGGATAAAATGACGATTTGCGCGTAGACGTTATTCTTTTTTTCGCTTTCCGCCTTTAGAAATAAAAATAATTCGTTCAGACTTTTTTTTTTTTTTTTTCTTCCCCTACGGAGCTAGGCTCCCGATTTTTTATAAATCTGCTGTTAATGATGGCATACACTAGCTTCATGCACTTTAGGGTTATTTCATCCTTCTGCATTTCCAGTCTTAATATGTTTAGGATAATTTTGATGTACTTCTTCAGGAGCTGCAGGTCGGTGCTGATCTTCTTTATCAGTCCAGAGTTGCTCGTTATGATTATCAGGATTCCGTTGAAGCAGCTGAGGCACTTGTTCTCGAAGTAGTCATGGTTGTTTAGCTCTCCTAGGCTCTTCATGCTGCTGAGCTTGCTCAGGCTTCCGCTCTCCACAGGGCCATTCGTCTGGTCATTCGTCGGGTCATTCATCCCCCCATGTGTGCCGGCGGGTAGCCCCTTCTCCTGCTCGCTCTTCACCAAGATGTACAGCTGGATGTAATTTTTTAGATAAAAGGAGCATATTTTGAGAAAGGGAATTTTGATAATCTTAAAAGTGGGCAAAACGAGCTTCATGGTGCTCTGAGCATAAGATCGGACTTGAGAGTAAATGGACAAATTTGTGAAAAATAAAATATTGCACAGCTGTTCACGGTAACCCTTAAAGCAGTAATTCTTTTTCCTTTGCTTCAATCTTTCATTGTAAAGGCATAACACGTTATTAACGTACTGACTCTTAATGATATCATAGTTGTAACTATACGGGTACATATTGTAGGTGAAGGACAGCACGCTGTTAATATATTCATTGTACATAGTCGTGTTAGGACTCTCGTTACATTTTAAAAGTAGAAAGTGTATGCACTTGATAAATTTTCTCTGCATTTTTGCATCTGCTTTAATAGTCTTCTCCCTATTATTAATAATATTTGTGAAAAAATCTTCTTTTAACTTTTTCAACTCATTTTTATCTATCAACATTTGCTTTGCGTTTACATCGTTAACACTATTTTCACTATTCACTGAGCTGATGGAAGATTTGTGCTCCAGTTTATCATCATTAGGATTGTATCTAGCATATAAGGACATGCTCAAAATTTGCTTGGGTATCTTCAAAACGTGTAAAGATAAAGTAACGACAACTTCGCTCATGTACACATACAGGTAGAAGGAAAGCTTTGTATTCACCACATGGCACTTGGCTAAGAGGTTATTATAATTGTACCTTTCATCTGGATATAAACAACTAAGTGGTTTAACAATGCATTTAATTATTTTGTAAATTCTAGAGATCACATTGGAATGGTTTAGAGGGAATTTCCAATTTATTTTTTTTTCCTTTAATTTTCTCTTCTCTACGTATTTTATTAGATTGGGGGTTGACACTGGGACATCACACTGGATTATCAAATCGAGCACATAGTCGAGTAGAAAGTACGTGAACTTCTTCCCCATTTTTACATTTTCCTTTGATGGGGTTTTCCATTTTACAAGTTCATCCGTGTTGAATACCTGTCCTGCCATTCCTCCATGGGCACAGTCCCCCTTAGCTGTCCCTTCTTCACCATTGCAGGTGGTGTGCACCACTTGACCCTGTTCAAACGCATTATTTGATGCTTCCCCATTTCTCGTATTGTTTAGAATGTACCAAGGGATTCCCCACCCACCCAGGGTACGAACTTTCTCTTGTGCACTAATATTTTCTTCAATCTTAAAACAGGAGTATTCCTTCACCGATAGAGAAAAATTGATCTCCAGAAATCTATACATAATTTTGCAAATGTACTTAAAGGCAACATTGTTATCGTCAACGATATATATTTCGATAAGGTTGTAAATATCCTCCAAATTGATGTATTCATTCTTGGCTCTTCTGATTAGGTTTGACAAAAAATGCAGGTAGCACTTTACCGTGTCGTCATTGGCGTACTCGTTCTTCGAGTAGGTGAAATATTCCTCCTCTTGTTGCGCAAGGTGTGTTCCATCGGACGCTTCCATCTCAGGTACTACTCGCTTTTTCTTCTTCTTAGTGATGAGCTTTTTATAAAACGCGTTAAAAAGAGTGTCGTATATTTTTTTGTTATTTACCAGGCCAAAGGCCAGCGGAATGATGGACAATGACTTGGCATTTTCCTGATCAATATTGTTTAAAAATTTCTGACACAACTCATACACAATATCGTGATCTAAATGAATAAAAAGAGAAATGAGTGTGGTCTTCAATCCTGTGTAAATATCGTTGCCCACTTTGGTATCTTTCTTTTCTCCATTCATTTTTTTGGTATCTTTACTTTTCTCATTTTTAGTAAATTTTATAAAGTACAAAATTTTATCAAAAAATTCATGGATCCAATAGCATAGATAGTCTACTAATTCTTTCCTCTCTTTCATAAGTTCCTCGACCTGTTCATCATTTAGCCAATACAAAGTGTACACCTGACTTCCTTCCATGCTCATAAATTTTTTGTACTCTCTCACGGCAATCTGCAAGTCGCCCCCTTTTCCTGTTCCTACATTGTCAATTTTCACAATGCAAATGTAGGAAAATAAGATGCTTAGGAAGGAAAAGATGGTGAAGCTTTTATACACATCGCAGATATCAATACCCATACTCATAACGGAGAGCAGATCTTTCAAATGGCTAGCCTTATATCTAATCAGCAATGGTAATATTAGGCATAGGGACAAAAGACAGTTACAAATTTGGGTTGAAATGTTCACATTGATGAGGCATTCTAACATTTTCTTTACGAAAATATCCAGGCAGTTAATGTCCACTACGCATATATGCTTTAGGATATTTTCGAAGAGGCTAACTCCCTTGCTGCTCTTGGGAAACATTCCCTGCACTGCTAACTGTGTGAACTTTTCGATGACGAACTTTTTGTCTTCCTCAGAGATGAAGTAGTTCGAGACATAATCGTCTTCTTCGCCATGCAGGTTGATGGGAGTGTCATTATGGTAATGCCCACCACGAACTTTCATCCGTTTCAAATACAAACTCTCCCTCTTTAACTTCCTAATGAAGCAAAACAGAAAGGTGTTTATGAACAGGTTGATATTCCCAAGATGCTTCCCCACACTGGAAGGGTGTATGTGCGGCATGAACAGACAAGTAATAATGTTAAAAAATTCGTGTGTATCTAGGTCTTGAAAGAGGGAAGATATATTTCTTTTATTTTCTTTTCCTTCTCCACATTGTAGCCCTTCTTCACCACCAATTGTCATCTCATCAAAGGTGCTTATATTAAAATTTTCGTCATTCAAAAAGGAGAGAAAAGTTTGCAGTAACTCTTTCTCCCTCATCTTTGCCTCCAACTCCTTTTGCTTGACTTCCTCCGCACTCTTTCCCCCAGCTGCCTTCCCCTTTCGATACATTCTATTGAGTAAAAAAACGAATGTCTTCGAAACTGTTTTCACAACACTATCATCGTCATTAATCAACAAGTTGTAATCATCTGGAATGTATTTTTTGGCGGAACTTAACTGAACATTACAAGGTAATTTGATATAATATAGGAACAAGAAAAAGAGCAGCCTTACTATTTCCTTCATTTGCTTTTCCAAACTAATGTTATACATATACGCATATTTTAACCCTTTGTAGACAATTCTAACGAAGGCATAATTGATACTGTGCCAGTTGTACCGTTTTAACTTCCTGTAGAGATAGAGAGCCTTTTCATATTTTATTAACTTAAAACATAAATCATCAGAGCCCAACTGACTTAGAACTACAAAGTTTAAAAACACCGTGTTATATCTTGGACAAATTTCTAACTTCTCAATGGGATGTGTGGCTAGGTCTACCTTCTGCAGGATCTGTTCTTCGGCCATTCCAACAAATGTGTTTACCGCTTCCCCATGTTTGTTCTTCATGTAATTGTCGTCCAGTACCACTATGCTGTTGGTGCGTCGGTTCAGTTCGGAGTTAATGGCAAAGATGGTACCATCGTGTGGGTTGTTGCCATCCCCCTCATAGGGGCAATTATCATTATGTGTTCCATCCGCGATACCGTTTTGACCCGGTCCCTGGGCGCATTTTGCAACCCGGATTGCGCATCCCATAAGGCATTCAGCCCTCATATCCACGTACTCCTCATATTTGCAGGAAAACATATTATTTAACGAAAAATCAAAAAGCAAGTTATGCACATCAATGTTATAATAACAAAAGGGCCTCAACATTGCCAACAAATTTATAACAGATGTGATGAAATTCTTGTAGGCATTGTGACTATACTCATCCTGCTTCCTAGAACTGTTACTCAGATAATCATAAAATAAGCTAAACAGGTATTTATAATCAATAATGTTAAATATACACTTTTGAATATATAAACGAAAGCTTTCATCCTTTCCATTAATAACAATTTCTTCATTAAAAAATGAACTGCTGTTTTCATCTCCCCTTTCGAAAACACCATTAATAGATAGGTAATACCGCTCTCCAGGCATATGTGGCTTGTTCTCATTTATGGTGGTACTGTCCACATCACTTGGGTTTTCATTTATGTACTTGTATTCATCGTAGTAGTGATCACTAATTCCTTCATAGGAATTGTTCGTCACATCACTGCCGTTTCCTTCATCATCATGCGCAGTGCTACCCACACCCTCCACTTGCACAAAACTACTCGCTTCTTCATCTTTACAAATGAGTCCCCTATCATACTCAAAAAAGTAGTCGTCTAAAATGTGACTTTTAATATTGTCTAGAATTCCAGAAATGGTTTGGCAAATATAGGACTTTAAATTTGGACTTATATTTTTATTGTGCAGAGAGTACCACAAATATTTAATCATAAAAATGTAAAAGTGAAAAGATTTATGTTTCGTCGTGTTGATGGTTTCATATAAGTTGTACAGCTTGATCACTAAGGTCACATTGTAGGAGTTGTTTTTTTTAAGCGAAACTATTTTTCTTATTTCGCATAATATTTCGTACTTTTCCTTGTTCACATTTTCCTTGATTTTTTTCGGCAGAAAATTGCTGTAATCGTTTAGCTCCCTGAACGTATTCAGCATCATCGTTGGCCTACGAACTTTTCTACAGGTCTAATGCGGTGAATATATTTCTTTATTTTGTACTTAAATTGGGGCTTCTTTCCTATACATTCTGCGTGTCTGCGTAAATACCTTCGCGCGAAACTGTGCACTTACGTTTGGTAGTTTCTGTGTGGGGGTCGGGAGGACGCGTAGGGAACTATCTGCAACTTATTGTCCAGCAAAAGAGAGTATCCTCTCCGTGCGACAGCAGTTGTGCATGTAGAGGTGTTATGTCTATTTTTATTTCAAAAACGTTCTAGTACCATCGCAGGGATGTGAAATTGTTATCACCCCGGTGTGGCACCTTTTTGAGCGGCAGCTATCGATGATAACAACTGGTGCCAGTTGGTAGCAACTCGTACCAATTGAATCTAATCAGTGTTAACACACGCAAATCGTTAGAAACTTGCTCTGTATTGGGCACTTTTCGTAGGGCGGCACTTCTTCTATAGTTAGACTACACAGGGGTGCGCACAACAAATTATTCTTCGGTTCCGCGAATCATGAGATTTTTGCCCCCTTGGTAGAATTTAGGAAAAATAAAAATGGGCCGTCCTCCCTGGTAACATTTCTTGTACGTACGGAATACGAATATTTTCTTCTTCCCTTTTCCTCCTGCACATAATTTTATCACCAGATCTGCTATATTCTGTCCTTGCGATCTCTACTATGAGGCGAACGCGCGTTGTACACCTACATTAGTACATATGGAAAATGGCACATGTGTGTGAACATTTGTGTTGACAAACCCACGTTAACGTTTAAACATGTGCATCAGCTATTGTATGTATAAGCGTATGTGCATGCTTTTATACGCGTTTCCATCACATGTACTCATCCTTGTGTTTTTTTTTTTTTTTTTTTTTTTTTATTACCTTTCTTTTTTTGAGCTTAAATGGTCAGTACCTGCCTCCTCCTTTTATTGTATTATTATGTTAGGATATTATCCCTCTAACTAAAATATTTTTGTATTTTTGTTCTTGCCAATGGTTATAAATAATTTCTATCTCTGTGAAAAGTTTTACTTTATTTATATGCAATATATATATTTTTGTCGATCAAAGAGTTCCACTTTCCTTGTATTAACAGAATTTTTTCGTATTCTCAATTTATTTCCTTTTTAGTGGCCATTTTATATCGCCTAGTGTACTCTTTAATTTGTTGCCCTATGTAGTATTCAAAAGTGTTTTTTTTTTTTTTTTTTTTTTTTTTTTTAAAAAAAAATGAAGAGTAAAAAGTAACTTGCCCTGTAAAGCGAGCGGAAGGTACCAAAATATTTATGCGTATATATAACTTATTTTACATAGAACGGGGGAATAAAAAAAAAAATATGGTGCCACGTTATCCTAACTGCAGCATGCTGTGTGGGTGAGAAATTATTGTTTGAACTATTCGAGTTAAAACCTTTTGTTATTGCTTTTTTTACGACTTTGTTAAAAAAAATATACAAACGGGATACTTGAATGATGAGAAAAGTTGAGGGGTGAAATATTGTAAGGTCGAAAAAAAACGTTGCAGAGGAGGGTAACTAAACCATATGGCTGGAGAACTTATAACTTCTGATCAAAATAGAGAGCAATAGGTTTTTACACCGCTTGGCATCTACATGCGGGAGTTAAGCCTTATCTTATGTGACACAACTGAGAAATTGACCTTATCTCAAACGCTTCGGAAATTAAACTGTCCCCCGGTCGGGGGTCGGCCAAGGGTGGCGATTTTACTGACCCCATTTTAGACCACTCACTTAAAGAAGAGAAAAAAAAAATTCATTGCAGTAGAAAAGATCAACGTGTTCTTTGCGCTATGCGCATTTGTACAAACTGCGGTTTTGCAAAATGGAAGGCATATAACATTGCTCATCATGTGTATGCTTAGGTATTCATTTGTCTCTCTGCTCGGCTTGCTCAATCAACGCTGTGTGTGTATAAATGCGTCTCTCCTAGTTAAGCTCAGTTGTAAGAAAAAGAAAATGCCCCATGAATAATGTGTACACCAGCGCTAGTATACCTCTCTTACATACAGTGATGGCTTATACGGCAAACAAAGTGCACGCCAAGAGGTTCTTTTCCTGTTCTGCTGGATAGTTCTCATTTTTGCTGTATTTTAGGGGAAAATATATTATCCCCCCTGAGCCCTTTGCAATTTCGACATAGTATACATTTAACAAGCCATTTTTACGTAGCAGTAATACACTTCCTCTTCAGTTTCCCGCTAATTAAAAGAAGTGCCTTGGGCAGTGCTACCGTCGTCATCGAAGAGGAAGGTGTAGAGTAGGTGACTTTTCCCTTTAACATAATTTTTTTAGTGCGTCCCGGTTGGGTGCCACGCTCAACGTCGTTTTCGTTACACTTATTTTTAAAATTTTATTCGAGGGCGAAAAGCAACCTTGTTTTTGTTTTTCCTTTTTTGTTCCTTTTTTTTCCAGTTGTCGTATTATTGCGTTTTTTTTTTTTTTTTAATTTGCGAACATATCGAGTGTGCCATTAGGATAACTATGGGGCCTCTCCCTTTTTAATGTCAGCATCGCGTTAGGATTTGTTCATAAAAAGGAGGATACCCCTTTTGTCATCTTTTTTCATGGCCAACTCTTCTAGCACACTGTGGGAACGCCATTTGGGGGCTACATAGAACAAGAACCATACATATATACGCAAAAGCGAAAATACACACATGGGCATATATGCCCATACATACATGTGCTTGCTTGTTGCTGCTGCCCACGTCCCCGCCCACCCCCAGTAACCATGATGAAGCTCCTCAGAATCAGAAAGGCGCACTTCAGCACGGACGTTAATGTATCCAACTTGCTGAGGAAAAAGGCAATTCTGTTCGAAAATGTGAAAAGGGAAAATTGCAAAAAAGAATTAATTCTGGATTATTTCAACATAAAAGGAGTGAAACTGAAAAAAAATGACATTCACATTATGACTAACATTTTGTGTAGACCGACTGGTAGGATAATGATTTTGACTGATAATATGAAGAAGCAGAATTTTAACTTCGATTTTGGGTCCCTCTCTGGGGGGACTGAACATTTACCATTGGATGAAAAAACAGTGAGCCAGGAATCTGGTCAAGATTCGGGTGACCCTCCGAATAGTAACAACTCCAACACCGCTAACGAAGTGGAGGATACCCCCAGGTGTGATATCCAAGGGGGGGACAAATCGAGTGTCCAGCTTAGGGAACACAACCATGTGAACGCTGACAGAGAGAATGACAAAACGCAGGAAGAAGTAGAAGCGGAAGAATATTATCCTTGCTCCAATGTGTGGAATAAAAATTTAAAAAATTTATTCAAGGAATGCAAAATTCACCTATGTGATGATTTCGAAATAGAAAAATTTGTGGAAGAGTGCGAACGGTTTTTACGATTTACAGAAGATATCAAAAGAGTAGCAAAGTTTGAAAATTTGGACAAAATAATTACCATTATAAATATTCCCAATTGTTATGGAAGAAAGGAATTGGCACAAATTATTTACGACTGTGCTAAGATTAAGGTAAAATTAAAAAACATCATTTTCAGATTTAAAAAAAATGGCATACAATCGGACTGTGCCTATGTCCTGTGCGATAGTGTGAGTGATGGAAATATTTTAATTAACAAAATGCAGGAATATCCTGTTGCTAAAAAATATTATTTACGAGAATTTTTTGGAACTTGTTTTTTGTATGCTTCCAAAAGTAACCTTTTCCTGAGCTCTGAAAAACTTGATTACGTGACCATTTTTTCAAAGTATAAAATATTCACCTGCGGATGGCATAAGGACATTTCCATAAAGGAGTTTGAAAGTTTTCTTATCACTCTTAAAATATTTCCCAAGAAAATTATAAAAATTGACTATCGCAGGGGGGCAGCCCAGCAGGACCACTCCGCAGGCAACTCCGCACAACAATCGGAAGAGCAGACAGACTGTAATTACCAACTCAGCCCCGTGGATCCCCATCACATTTTAATAAGCATCGACGAGGTGGACTCCGCCGCGGATGGTGCGGACCCCACTAACGACCCACAAGACACCAATACATCCTCGTTTATTTTATTTTTCGAGAATATGCGAATGACAAAAAAGGTTTTCACGAAACTGGAGAGACTGAAAAAGAAATGGAAAATATCGGCATCCAAAAACTTCTACGCATACCCAAAGACGGTACGAAAAAAAAAAAAAAAA